TACTCGTTAATTCCTTTGTTCGTGCCTTCTACATATATATGTATACCTAGCTAATCAAAGTTTATTTAACTTGCAGGAAATTTATAACTTGGATAAGCTTAAGTCTGCTTGAAGTGATGATTGAAGAGTCCAACCCACAGTTGCTTTCATGTTATATGTGTCACCTCTAGTTTATCAATTGAATGAGCTTAACCGGCCGGGATAAGCTGTGTTATGCATTTGTAAACTTAGCTTGATTCATTCAAAAGAAAAGAAAAGAACTTTGTATAATGAAGGTGAAGCATTTTGTACATATAATATTCCACGCCTGGAAGCGATCCAACCACAAAATAAATGTGGTTCTACAATCCACATGCTTCTTCATTATATTGTTTCGGAATGTTTGTTTTTCATCATTTGGTCTTGCGTGTACTTGCATTTGTGTATGAACGCTATAATAATAAACCTTGTATATCCGGTGGGTTTTGCAGCATCAATTACACGTTGAATTATAGTCTGTCAATAATCAAGTCTTGAAATAAATTTTTAATTAAAATGTCTTGTCTGGTAACTTTATTAAGTACTTTCTTTAGGCTTCCTTTACTTCTTTTTAGTAAATTTATACTGTTTAATCTACCTTCTTCACTAGCACGTCCAGCAACATTCAAACTGTCTTATTCCTTAGTATTTGTGTGTCAACAAGACTTACAAAATTTGTCAATCACCATCTTATTCATTGCTACTCTTTCTTATGATTGGATCCTACTGCAATAAAAGAGGATCCATTTTGCCCTCGCTAAGAATAGCGAGGGGTGCAGGAAGCAGCAGATAATTAGGGCCGGAACTGGAATTTACAACAAATTAAATTGCAAGGCCAAAATTAATTTCAGCATTTTTTTTTAAAAAATAAGATTATAAATACTTTAATATTCACAAAGAATGGTGAGAATCATGAGGGGCAAGCACCTTTGCCTCCTTTTGAATCCGTCATTTGTTTAGAGAATCAGTATCTCTTTACAATGACTAGCTTTAATTTTTTTTTTTTTATAGAATTAACAGCAGTTGCTATAAATAAGTCTGCGATCAACTTATGAGTATGACATGATAATAAGGGGAAAAAAAATCAAAACTGTTAGATACGCACCTTCATATTTTATGTTAACATGCATATATCGACCAGCTATCACGTTTAATGTAGATTGGAGGATATGATTACTTCATACAACTTGAGGAATTGAATGAAAGAGGGGTGCCTTCTTCAATCTTCTATGAAAATGAGGATCTTGTAGTTTGTATATGAACAAAGTCCTCTGTCCAAAAAAATTACGGGCTTCAGTTAGTTGCCAACAAACAAATTCTGGAAGTGGAAGCGGTGGATTTGGGTTCTGAAATGTGAGAAAGTTTTTTCCTGGCTGTCTTTTTTTGGGCAGAAATTTTTTTCCCGAGTATTGAAAGTTGAAATGCAGATCCCCGGAATTTGGACATCATGTTTCTTAGTTGCAGCGGCGCACGTCTTCCAGAGTCACACACTGCAAAACTTATCGCTGAGAGTCTGATTTATATATGCGTGCCCTCTCTCTCTCTCTGTCGACTTCGATCTTGGTCGGTCCAATCAGAATCTCGGTATACTTGGAGCTTCCACGTTGGGGTCCTTCGAATTCGTCAGACGTTTCTAACTTAGATCTTTCAATACTCGTTCCATCCTGCACTCTGTAATTGGCTTGACAGTTGAAATTGAGATGCGGAGTACTATGAATAGTTTCTCATTTGGATACGGGAGTCCGAAGCCCTACCCAAAAAGCGACTTTGACCTGGAATCCGAAAACCCACGTAACGATCCCGAAATCCCATCTGAATGATCAAATCATTTGGAAAGTCGCCTTCATTACTATTTCAAGTTGCACCAATTTATGGGCTGCTTCATCTCCTTATCTATTGGGATCACAATTCTTCTGATCCTTTCTGTATACGAGAGCCAATACAGAGCGGCAAATACTTATGGTAAATTCGATCTGGGTTCGGACGATTATCCAATTGCCAAAGCTTCAAAATCTTATAATGGTTGCGGGCCAATCTATTTATACGAGCAGTAGTTGTGGGATGGGAAGATTGAGAAGGAGGAAATGAGGAATCTTGGTGTTTGGAACCTTATCAGAATTGCTGGTCAAGCTGCCACTTTTGTGACGCACATAAAAGAGGGGATTGATATTACAGCCAAAGATGACTCTGCTGTGCTCTTGTTTAGTGGAAGAGAGACTCGTACAGGTGCTGGTTGTTAGGCTGTCGCTGTTTCCAAAACATCATGGTCTCCTATCGGCAGATTTTTACCTGATCGTTGAAACTCAAATCTAGTGACTTGTGAAGTTTTATTGCTGGGAGCAAGAAAAAGGAGAATAAAATGAAGAAAGATTACGTTTTCCTGTTTATGCTAAATATTACTGAACGCTCGGCGAAGCTACTCTACATACTGAGTTATTGAAATCTGGGCTTAAATTTGTGATAGTACTAAGTTCCCACCCCTTTTCTGCTCCGATTTCTCTTTTACCTCGTAATATAAAGGTGGCGAGTTTCCTTTGCTGCTTCGATGATAAATGACCCCACTAACCACAGTCTCTTGATTGTTTGTGTTGGTAAAGAAGAAACCATGAAATGGAGATCACTTACAGAGGAGGATGCCCGCGACACTTACAGTTTTGAAAACCTCCGATTTAGTTTTCGCGGTTTCCGGGAGCTTAGTGTGGCACAGATCCCACGAATATAACTCTGTGCACTTTTCGTTTGAACAAGCAATGCGTAAGATATACTACTTCAGATTCTGTTCACAAGGCTTCATTGATAGTTTATAAACGAAATTCTATAAATAGGATTAGAGGTAGTATTGTGTTTTCTTGTGGATAGATGAAAGAATTGCTGCAAAGTCCTAAATAATTAAGAAATATAATTATTAAAAAATTTCGGTGACAACAGAATAATCTAACAAATAATAATTACTCACTTATCATTCTGTAATTTTTTTTGGGCGACAGAAGAAAAAACCCAAAAACAAAACTACACTGAAAAGCTACGACGGAAGGATTGTCTTTTTTAACTGCTGTCATACTTGAATATGAAACGGCTTATGGAGTTACGGGATTCCTTTGGTTATATTATACAGCGGAACTGAGGGAACTCAATTTTCGTGATTATGTCAATATAAATCAGAATTGCTTATGGGTTTTTCGGATTAGTTCTGATTTCGTTGAATGTGAGAGGTATGATTTCAAGCTAGAGAGATCTGCAATTGGGCTTGCAGAGTGACGGTTGTTCTATGCAAAAGCAGCTGCTCTAAAAGGGCAGGCATTGGTGAGAGCTTAGTTCCAGAAACATTTAGAACACATTAATTATTATTGTGCTATTGCACATGCATCGTGCCTACCCTGACTCTCCCTTCGCATAAGCGAGGCAGCATAGTCAAATTATGTACACTGTACTGTCCATTTAGTTAGTTTATTTCACCGAGAAAATACTTGGAAAAAGGCACAAAAATAAAGTCCGAATGTATAAAATTTTAATTAAGAGAAGAAAGTAAGACCTGAACTGACATTTAAAAATTATCATAAAATTATTTGTCATTTTCAATTGAGTTAAAGCTATTTATGTTACAGAAGGGCTTTCAAAATGATAGGTTAGGTCTCATGTTCCTGACCCACTGTCTCCACCCTCCAGGGAAGCGTGAGAATGTGAAGTTGCTTAATTACTCATAACGCCGCATAAAAAACCCTGAAGATGAAACACTCGCATTCACTAGCACCACTTGAGATTTTGGATTCGTTTGGAATAGCTTATAAATAGCTTTTCAATCGTGATTTATGAAACACGAAATAAATATGTAAAAAGAATTTTATCTCGACTTACATAAAACATGCTTATAAATGATTTCAATCGTAATGACAAATAAAACACTTGTAAGCATCCGTCGATCTCAGCCCCGGCTCATAACTCAAGCCTCCTACGGCCCATTTCAAGCAAGGTCTCCAAAATATCAATGACATGGGGAAAATGGTCATAAATCGTCGTAAAAAGTTCAATTAGAGGTAACAAAAAGTAAAAATTTTAGAAACTACATGTACAGATCCTTTGGTAAAAAAAAGATAGATCCCAGTAAATCAAGCGTTAGGTGTCCTGCCCTTGGATCGTAAGTAAGCCTGACCCTTTTCCTAAAATTTTATAATAAAAAAAAAAATATTTCGATCGGATTTTTCAGCACTCAATTTTTATCTTTAATTTTTAATTAGATCAAATTCTCCTCGTCTTTTTTTTTGATGAAGAAATTCTCGTCTTCTTCGAGTACAAAGAAACGAAACCAACCAAATACTCTTAAAAATCTCAAAATTAAATAATTTTTTTAAAAAATATCTTTAATTTGAAATCAGTTTTATTTATTATATTTTAATAAAAATTAACAGCGACATACTTTTGTCCGGAATTTTAACGTTTCTCTTTTTTTTTGTTGTTGAGATTTTTCTAACTAAATAGCGATTAAAAAAGAAAATTTTAGTTCCATCCAAAATCTTACCTTTTTCTCAAAAATTTCTAAAATTCACCCTACATCAAATTTATCAAATGTCATTTTCTCCACCCGAATACCCGATGGCCTTTCATTCTTCTGGAGATATTAGATAAAAATGTTCTGCGCTGGATGCGTTCTTTGTTCTCCACATGATACTATTAGCAGATTTATAATCTTAATATTTGCAAAATCAGGCGTTGTTTCTAAAAGGTTTCAGGAGGTGAACGCAAAACGATTGTTCGGTGACCAAAAAAGGAAAAAAAAAGATTAAGAAAAAGGAACCATCAGGAACCAAAGTTTTATCCCCAAAAGCTACAAGAGCTATACGGTCCGCATCATGGTTCGGGTTACAGGAACCCCCATCACTTGGCTCCAATCAAACGCACTTTCATCGGAAACCAGAACGATCGGTTTAAAAACAGGAGATCTTCATATTGCAAGAAACAGAGAATTCCAGATGTGAAAATAAATAGGGCTCAGATTGAATGGGTACGAGAAATTTATCAGCACAGATTGATAAAAATCATCAGAGTGGTGCATGACTTTCTCTGATACTCATCACTGCCCACAGCATTCAATATGAAGAAAGAAGATAGATGGAATGGGCGAGGACCCCAAAAAAAAAAAAAAACACAACTAGAACAAGCATAAAGAGAGAGAATGAGGATGCTATGGCCGGATCTGAGAAATTGAATGGCTGAGCGGGCAAATGGTAAGAGGAACCGCGGAAGATGGTTATATATATAAGAGGAGGGGGCCGGCGTTCGTCCAGCCGCAGCAGGCATTGTGGCCAGGCAGCTCAAAAACCCTAAAGTCTTTTTATGACGTGCTGACACTTTTGCCCCCACTAGTTTATCCTATTTTCATGGTACGGTTGTCAACAGATCACGCCTCCGCGTGGAGAAAGAAATGGCGCATAGGGCCGGGATTACTCATTCCCAAATAGGCCTTAGCTCAGGCCCAACTTCGACCATCCTATATGAGCGTTAATCTTTCAACAAAAAAAAAAACATTAATGCATTCTTTAGTTCTTTAAAAGTCTCCCAAATTTTAAATTATAGATTTTAGTTCTTTAAATTTCTTTTTATTTAAAACATTAAATTTTATAATCCAACCAAAACTTGAACCATTTGCTTCTTGATTGGCCAAGAACAAACTTAAAGGACTAAAAGTTACATTAACCGGGGGGAAAAAAAAAAGAACGAAAACTTCACTGGATAAATGCCGGTAGAGGTGGATAAGAAAAAGGCCGACTCTTGCCATCCTGCTTCTGTGAATAAAATAATTTTTCAAAACATATTTTTAACATGTCATCCGGCCACATAAGCTTCTGGTTAACCACGTCATAAAAAAGTAAAAGGTCTGGTTATTTATGCTGTGTTTAGATGGAAAGAAAATAAAAGAAAATAAAAAAAGAAGGAAAACTAGGAAAGAAAATAAAAATAGAAGTGGTTTTTTTTCCTGTTTGGATGAGAGAAAAAAAGTGGAAGAAAAGAAAAATTATGAAGAAAATAAGGTGGATCCCACAGTTCATTTTTCTCTCAACTTTTCTTCTCATCCAAACAAACAGTTAAGGATCAATGCCTTTGATAATTAAATCTATAAGAATTTGACTAAAATAAACTCAAACAGGTCCCTAATTCAAATTTAAAACAAATCATGAGGACGCACAAATTTTTTCTCTTAAAGATAGATATGATGATTTGAATTACGAGCCTTCTTCATCCAAAAAGAAGAACTACGAGCTTTCTGATCGGAAACTCGATGCAGACGAAACCATGGCCTTTCACTCTTTCTGCAGTAAACTTTGCAGGGTTATAGGATAAGGCCAAACTCAAGCTAGACGTGAAAGATTATCCCCAAATGTAAAACATATATAATACTTATAATTATCATTAATCAATAATTAAAACAATAATACGCCCTCCATATAAACACAAATATTAAAATAAATCACATTTATGACTTAAAAACAGCTTAACTCTTTATGATTTATATATTGATTATATTTTTATCTATCCAAAGACATAAACGTTACTGTATGCGTATTCATTTTCTTTCCCACCTGTTCATTACTTTCACAAAAAATAAATTTACAAAAAAAGGCTATGTACATGAGACGGCCCAAAAGTTCTTAATGCTAATTAAGGAACCGTTTAGCGGAAGGGGGAAAATCATCAAATTACCTGTGGACGTAGTCAAAAAAATCATGTCAAAATCCATTTGACCATGTCTTCTAATTTTAACTGGAAATACCAAATTCACGTCCTCGATGTTGAGGCTCGGGATTGGGGGGGCCGCCTCTTTCCGCCGGGCAAGCCACTGTCACTGATACTCCCTTCCACAAGAATATCTTGAAGCTCAGGAAATTCTGTTCTCCACGACCGCAACGGTACGAGATGGCTGTCATCCTTAGTACTCCTCCTCCTCTCCTCATGCCGTTTCACGTTCTCTGATATCTCATGGAATGTTCTGTTTATCCTCGCAATACCCCTTTCAACTGGTTCTACCACATGTGAAACTGTGTATTTCATGTCGTCAACAATCTGGAATATAGTGACAGAAGGGGTAAAAATTAGGTTTGAGGCGGATGACTGAGATAGCTCAGTTTAAACTGTATATATATGTTCATATCTCACAATTTCACCACTTCCAACAACCACGTCACGAACACTGTGAGTAAATTTCATTCTCTCTCTCTCATCATGTCGTCCCAGCCGCATTTTGGTTGTACGTTCAGAGTCTTGAACCTCCTCGGGATCAGGTAATGCCCCTAGCGATGCGTAGTCATCCATCACCGCTACATTACGGACACACCTCTCCCCCCTTTTGTAAGGTACTGCAGGGAACACATAAAGGTGCACAACAGCAGCTATGCCCATCTGCCAACAAATTATACAACGGGAAACCATGATTAAAAGAAAAGGCCCTCCCGAAACTTCTTAATTGAATGGAAACGCTATAGCATACGCCACGCAAAATGAAAAATTTAAGCTCAAACAGAAGCATCACACAGCAAACTAAAGTTTAAAAAAAATGGCTTGACTCTTCACTTTCTGACAGTCCCAAAGCAAAGCGCTCACTGACCTGAAACGATTTCCCAAGAAAGAGCAGAGCTCAGTATAATCCAGGTGCGAGTATGACCGTAACATGCGCAAACAGAGTACAAAGCTCACCAACTAAAAATGATACTTCCCCAAGGTATTATACACTGCTTAATTTTGGCGGTTTACCGCCCATTCATCAATTCTAATTGTATCCCTTATCAAATTTTATGGAATGTTTACGAAGACAAGGCTGCTGATACATCCGTTCAGTAAAAAGATCATGCTCATACATAATTCATCCACCACACGTATTTGATTATAATAATTATATAGATAGATAGGTAATAATCAATTTGTGGTATCCACAATTTACCTGAAAGTTCACATTATTCTTTTCAATATTTACATATCCACATCAGTAAAATTTGCCAGTGGCAAAAGGATTTCATTCATAGATCTCACATGGTGCTGATTAAAGCTTAAACTTGCTCAAACCACAACACGTAGATAATACAACATATCAGCACTTCCGGGAATTTAAGCAGTTTAATAATGAAGAAATATAAATGAGAATAAAAAATAGAAGAGTCCCACAATGACTAACCTCTATACAGATAATGTAGTCTTGTATACGTGTTTTCAACACCTGCGCCAACGAACCTTTAAATGCTCCAACTGAAACAAGAAATGCGACTGCCACTCCTTGCCACCATGTCAGAAAGACAATTGACTTGAAAGTTAGGAACTTAGCCAGCGGTTTAATTGGCTCCAATTTATCTTTAGTAACAGAATAGAACTGTACAAGGCAGTACAAGGCCCATGTCTGGCTAAAATTAAGAACAACTGCCAGGTAGGGATACCTGCAAGTAAATAGGAGAATCAGACTGTAAGAATTCTTTGTCCGGAAAAAAAAAAAAAACCGCAAGAATTCTAATGGCAGGTAGCCCTCCCCCATCAAAAGAAAAGGGTAGAAAACTAGAAATAGTAATTTAACCTTTTCAGTTGGTGATCCCAAGAAAATACAATATGTGATTTATATTGGAAAACATAATTTATATTTAGGAATTGAAATATGTCCTATGATATGCACAATGCACAAGCAAACAATATCAAGACACAAACTGATACATTAGCTGAACTTACCCATACTTCCATTCAAACTTGCCCTCTCCATACACCCCGAAAGACTGGAGGATCATTGCCAGCAATGCGCATATCATTTTTAGTATCATCTGAAGTAAAGGTTTTATTCATCAGAACAAGATACACTCTGATTTGAGGAGGAAGGGGTTTTACATATCTCAATCCACCAAATCACACATACATATTGCACAATGCCAATTTTCACAGCATTATAGAAGTCGGGACCAAGATACCAATCTCTTAAGAGGCAGTTTAAAGGAAAGGGATGCTCTACAACTCCGTATGCATATGCTTCTTTTAGAAGAGGAGAGTTGTAATCCGTTATACTCTTGTAATCCGTTATACTCATGCTTTCCATGAACTGAATTGTCTTGTCCTCACCACCTATGAGCATAAAAAATTGAGCAAAAAGTAAGACAAGCACAATCTGTTTACAGCTGCAACCAGAGAGAAGTATTTGGGCATACAATCTGTTTGACATACCTAAGCAAGCTATCAAGTATCTCTCAAAGCAATATAATGCAAAAGCCTCATAGCAATCTCGGATAATTTCACAGTTGAATGCCGCACTAGAATCAAGTAGTGATAAAAACTGCATAATAAAATTTAGAAGTCAACGATGTGTTATTCATGGAAAACTTAAAAAAAAAAAAAATAATTATAAAGCTGATTTTATTTTGTAGTCAATCAAGCACATATGCCTATACTTGTGTTTGCTGTAGCTCACAACAAATAGTTTTTGCCTGAAATCAGGAAATGCAAACCAGGCTTTATCGAAAGTTGTATTATTAGCTAAACAAGGCCAAGAAACCTAGCGTTTTAAAATGAAAAGGAGCATTGCATTCAACATACATTGACACGGATATTCATAGAGAAACAGATAGATTTAACAAACCAACAAAGAAAGAGGGTAAATATTATTTAATAAATGTTACTTACCGATTCCAGTGCATAAACAGGAACCATTAAAATGAGGCCAATCAAAAACTTCTGCTCCTGAACAAAAGAATACACATATATGAAGGGAAATTACCAGCGGTGAAATAACCATGTTAAAGAAAACTAGACAAATATAGTAAAAAGCATTAAACGAGGGGAAAGGGGGCCAAAAGGCATAAGATTGAACCTCCGGCTGATTATAGGCAGATAAATGCTCGAAAATCAGATACATGGAGAGAACAAGAGCAACAAGCACAAATATGCTTGAACTGGAGATAGCCCAGCTGAAGGTTCCTGCAGACTCCACGCCTAGGTTTAGGAACCACATATTTCCTGACCTGATTATGGACTCAAGGGGCGTATAAAGAGATATGGCAGAACATAGAGCACCCGTCAAACTGAGATGACAAAAAATTATTATTTCTTGTAACAAGTGGTCTGCATTCCTTGATCAACTTGATGATTTGCTATTTCCCCGCCTTGTGGTGTCTCCAAAAGTCTAAGATGCTTCTGATTCACTCATTCAACTCTCTTTCCTTCCGTCTGCTCTTGACTGTATGTAATTAGTCAAACCTGTAAGGCACAATATTTGACAGAGGAAAATCACCCTTCTGTTATGACAAATAGTCCTCAAATATAATGTGCACCATGAAGAACTAACAAATTCAATTGACAGTAGACAGGGATGTTAGCTTTTGATACATAAAGAAGTCCACAAAGACAAGGACAACAATCCAGCATTGACAATCATATTCGTTATTTAACTAATTTAAATAACTACAAGAAATGGCAACATGTAGGAACACTCTAAAGGCCATCCTTCAAACTCAGTATTATAGTTCAATGAGAAACCTTATGCGTAATAGGAAATAAAGTAATGACAATCCCTGAGAGATAAATTAGAAAACATAAAACCATCCCCACATGTTTTGGCACCCAAAACAACCAAATCTTGAGGCATCATTAAATGTAAAAGTATACATGCATCATACTTTCATGGAAAATTAAGTTCAACCACTGGATAACTCAAAGTTGGTATGGCGAGTTTTTAAGTCACAGGTACCAAATAATATAGAATGGTCAACTAATCAAGCATGCAAACCCCACATCACCTTCTCTAGTAAATATAATAACCATAACCATAGTTAGTTTCCACCTTGTCAATTACCTCAGGTGAATAATCATCATCAAACAAGTTCTGTTCCATCTTATACTAGGGAGGGGAAATGCAAATCAACAGAGCATGAGAGGCATAATTATCAGTAACTTGTTTATTGATGAAATATAGGCACGATATCTTCTCCCCATGTAAAATAACGTCCATATGGAACTTAGGAAATGGTTATATCAATTTTCTTTCATACGCTAAATTGGAGCATTGCTCCTACTCTATGAAGCATGTCCTCAGGGTGACACATGCACATAATTTACTACTACTACTACTACTACACAACAACAACAAGCTTTGTTCCATCATGTGGAGTTAGCTACGTGAATTGCATTACCCCACATGCATATATTTTACAATGCATAAAAAAGTATTACCAAAATTTTATGTTTTTTTCAAGTCAATAGAAGTAGATGCGGTGAAGGGAGACAATAACTTCCAATATGAATAGACTCCGGAGTTAAAAGATGGAAGCTCATAGTATTTCTTTTTCTAAGAGTGCAACATCACAACAACATTACATCTTCTCATTCCAATTTCTGGTGCAACCAATCTAACTGTCTGGTAAAAAGAGCATTATCATGCATGTACTCAGTAGGGATTAAAACATAAATAACATAGCGATCAAGCAGAGGCTCCAGTAAGACGTTAAAAACCACATTAAAACGAAGAAAGCATAATGAGAGAACTTAAATAAGAGCATCATCACTACGATCAAACAAACATCAGTATTTCATGTCATAGTCTTCTACTCTCGCGGCGCCTAACTTATAATTACTATGGTTGATTAACCTTTCGGAATTTGATAAGAGCAGAGGAGGCTGAAACAAAAGATCCAATGAGCATCATTAATACGATCAACTAAACACTAATTCATGTAAGCCTTCTTCCCTTGTGGCGCCGAACTTATAATTATTATGGTTGATTAAAATTTTAGAATTCAATAACAGCAGAGGAGGCTGAAAGGAAGGGTCAAACGAGTCGGGTGAGGATGACTTACCTTACTTGCTCCGTATTCCCCAAAAATAAAACGGGGAAAAAAAAAAGCAAAAAGCAAACCATCATCCATCATAAACCGCTGAAGTTCAATGAAACCTCAGTTCATCAACAACTGTGAATCAGACTAACCTGCCGCGATGGTTAATCAAACAACAGTTGTAAAGCACGCACATCACTCACGGCATGTAAAATTCCAGCAAGAAGAATCCAGTGGGAAAAGGAATGCGAAAAACCCTAGGCTACATAAAAATGGAAAATAAGTTGCGTATGAGCCGAAATAACTCACTGCAACCGAAAAGAAATACGCAATACAATGTGGCGCCAAGGATACTACTGAAGGAAGATTAAAAAGAAAGAGTTCAAACCTTTGCTTAAGCTTCTGTCCCTGTATAATCGAGATGAATAGTTTTGCGCAAGAATCTATAGCCCAGGAAAGGGGAGAGAGAAGCAAACGAAATTTGCATCGGCGGTTGGAAAACTATAATCACGAAATTATCTGAAAAGAGAGAAGATTCTAAAGAGACTGGAGCGATTAGATGTAGTAGTCACAGACGAAATCCCAGTCGTTCGTACGAGGAAACCTTCGATTGATTGGTCTTTGTCACCTAGGTTTGCTGAGTTGGCGCTTTAATTGAGGGTTGTGACTGACCGAGAGGCGCGTGTATACATTTTTTTGCCAAGGCGCGTGTATACATTTTAAGAGTGAAGGAATTGGGTTGGTATTATATATATTTAACAGGTAGAGAAAAGAAAGGGAAAGAACACGTCATGTTGTGTGCGCGGCAACCGGCAAAAGCAGGAGGGCTGAAGCTTCCCATCTATCTTGTTTGATACTGACGTTCGGCTTCCGGTCAAAAAAAAAAAAGATACTGGCGCTCGGCTTTGTCCGTTGTCACTCGTGCTTCTCGCCCTGCCTAACAATCCGATCTCCCGTTTAGACTGTTAGGTCCTCACCTCAAAATATAGATTTTTCAGGGGAAAAAAATTATTTCATTTTATAAATCTTTTTAAAAATTAAATATATCATTTTTTAAAATTTTCATTATTCATTTATTTATCATCCAATACAAGCGTCTCTTATTTTTATTAATTATAAATTAAATTATGGGTAAACACAAAAACACAGAAATTTTTTGCCATATTACTTCTCATTTCCATTTTGCCTGAGCAATAGACCAGAAAGAGTTTGAGAGAGCGAGGGCCGAGGAAGAGAAGCCTAAACTGGTAAGGTTTACCCGCCCGCACAGGCTTCAGCCTTTATGCCCGTCCCCCTTTAAAATATAAAAGAAGGGCACATGTACTTTATTACAGATTTCATTTGGAATGCTGCGTCAGATACTCGGAACACACATGAAATTCAAAATAAAAAAAATGATTGAATCACTATTAAGTAGTTGGACAGCGGTATCTTTCAAAAACGCGAAAGTTTGTCTATTAGTATACAAACTTACAAAGGAATTGGGATATTCATTACATGGTTATACAGTCACCGTATAAGTATACTCAGCAAAAGTCAACGAACCCATTACCATGGTCAAAACCCCGGGGGGTGGTGGACCCATCAGAGAAATTACAAGAAATCTTTGTACCCAGCTCCGTGTTTGCTTTTCCTCCTGAAACGATGCGAGTGTTTCTGAAACTTCTCATTTCAGGATACTCAAGGCATCAGCTAGCGTTTATTTTCAACCTGCTTAATAACTTTTTGATCGTCTTCTGCAGCAATAGTGGATCGAGTCCGATACCCCTGGTCAAACTCCTTTAACGACCTTTTCTTTCATGCATACCCAAGACACTTGCCAAGCATAAATTATGTTAACACTTATATCTACGAGGCCCTTGCCAGAACATACCTCAAACGAGAGAGGTGCTAGAACGAGCTACCCTCTGAGCTTCTTCCAAGTCCCTAAGAAACCTGCGAATTCAAACAAGATATAAATAGTGCCAAAGAAATCGGGACTACTATCTGTTAGGTAAGACTTCACAGTTATTAAAAGCATCCTCACCCCATCAATGGACAGCTAAATATAACAAGTACATCAATCTCTGCAAGACAAATTTAAGACCAGACCAATGAACTTTATCACCGAGAAGAAAGTCTATCAATCATTCACGAGGAACGGGAAGAGTCTAGTCACAGCATATGGCTTTTGTTTTAAAAGCAGTCCACTGAAGCATAACTCACCAACAAAAAAACCACCAAATCCCAAGTTCCCAACCACGTCGCTTTAAGAAATATTCAAATTAAGATAAATCAAGTCCCAATTAAGACAAATTTCACTCTCAGCACAAGAACCAAGCCAGAACCTGGAACTATCAATTCAACAGATCTATCCATTTTAGCATGCCAAATTTAGAGCAGAATTGGTACGCAAAAGCTGAAAATATCACTTGAATCCAAAGTATCTTCATCAGTTTATCTTACCCCTTAGAATTAAGAACCGTAGTACCACAAAGTATAAAACGGATCCCACTATTGTTGTTATTTTGCATCGCAACACATCGCGACTCCTCATAAGTTGTCCCACCAACAATGAAGATGATAACTTCCTGTGGCCTGTATTGCATGGATATACCAGTAATGATACATCAACATTCAATACATTTGATATATTATATAAAAATTATTAACCAACTGCACTATTCATAAACCACTTTGAAAAGAGGTAGAGGAAGGCCAAAAAGAACATTCAATTAAATTATTGAGATCTTTCGGTTAATAATATATTCAAAAACCTAGTCATTGATAAAACACAATAGCGTCGTGCGATCTATTAAGCCGACCCCATCTAATAGGATAAGATTTTGTTGTTGTTGTTGTTGCACTATTCATAAACCAGGAATAGTAGCTTCATTTCTCATATTCGGCATGATGGACAGAATCCGTAATCCAGTTTGAGATTATTCAAAGGTATGATAATTATCATATGTGAGACAGAAAAAATTAGAAGCAACCAGAAGCAAATAAGACACAGCTGTGTATTTAATAGCAACTAACCTTCCCTGCTGAAAGTGATTTCCAACAATCGGGTAGTCCACATCCCTCAATCGTCCTTTCACTATACTTTCCATGGTCTGAAACAGTAGTGGCTGATGTTGAGTGTATACATTCTCCACACCCTTAACATAATCCAAAAATAAATTTAGTTTAAGATCTGGGACTCAAGTTATAAAGCATAAGGTGTAATAATCAAATTTGTTCCATGAAACCTTCAATCCACGAGCCATGTTACGAGCAATATTCAGTAGATCTCTACTTCCATAAAGATCACCAGTTCTCTTGTCAACACCTGCTTGCTTCAAAAGAAACTGGACAATCTGTCGTAACACAACAAAAGCTATCAATAGCAGGGACTTTCTCATGCATTGCAGGGCCATCAAGAAAAAAACAAAAAAAAGTAGCTTCATATTTCGTCCTCTAAATTTAATCCAGTGAAATTTCTAGTCAGGAATCCAAAACAAAAAATAGGACAAGGTGAAGCAGCTAAAAGCAATCTGCAATCATTTTTCATCATGTGGCCGACAAAATTCCTAGAAGATAGAAGACTGCTAACCATGATGGGGAGTATGCAGAAAAAAATTCTAAAAAAGGTAAGGAACACCAGAAGAAATTCAGGTATGCCACAGTTTAAATTAATTTACCCCAGGCTTGTACTTGGCTGATCGGGATGCCAGTTTGTTGAAAAGCTGCATTAATTGAACAGGGCTATCCTTCTCATAACGCAAAGCATACAACATGACTAAGCGCAGCCGGTCCTCATCTGATATACTTTCATTGTTTAATAGATTTGTCACTGCCTGGAAAAGAGTACATAAGAAGGAGAAGTCATAACCTGGAAAGTATGTAAAATTGTTAATTCAAAGCAGCTATCAGTACATGTGATACGGGAAACTGACACTTAGAATTGCACTTCTTTTCCTTCTTGCAACTAGGATATCAGTGCATACCATATAATTTTTCTAGGCTGAAGATTAACCCATTAAATAACCCAGAAAAGCTTAAGCAAAAGGAAGTTAAGAGTTTCAATAATTAGAAACAAACAACATATACCTCAAAAGCAGCCCCTTGCCCTCCATTACAAGCCAACTCTTGTTCTGCTTCTGAAACTAACATAATCTTCCTCTCTTGAACTATCCTGCTCATTTCTGTAACCAAGGCTACATGTTTTGACACGTTTCCATGCATTTTTCTGTACTCAGGGTAATTGTCAACAAATTTGGCCATGTCCTCTGCAATCAGTCAAATCCTAAAATTAGCGACCCATCTACTTTGCTGCAGTGTTTGGTGTGTTTATTATACTAGTAACAGCAAAAAGAATTTTAATCTTAACAAATTGAAAAATTTAAAGCACAAACCTACTGTCTGGATGTTCTGGTTACTCTTTGCCACTTGCTGAAATTCATCCACCAATCGCTTGATGTTCATACCTATATCTCCAAAATTCTCATACATGTTGGCTTTGAAGAAAGAATCTTGTTCTGATGACAGCACAACCTCCTGTGACAAGTAGTAGTACAAGAATCACTTTCCAGTCAGGACACTTTTTAAATTCCAACATCATGACATAATAGTTCATAATGACTTGTAAGGAGTGTAGCAAACCTCCTGATCCTTTGGAAATTTACCAAGGGATTTTAAGTCTACTTTGTTATCTTGGATTCCTATTAGTTCATGAACCATTGCCTGCAAAATGCCATAACACAAAAGAGCATTTCTTTTATATTCAAACAACTTTTCGGATTAATCAGCAAATGTTTTTCCGTAAGCAATAAAATTTTAGTTTTAAGCCCACAGATACCTGATAGGTCCATTGATTTAACAATGGGGTTACAGAATCATCCCTCCGGTCAATCACCAATAATAATGGAGAAACTTCTGTTCGCCTAAAATCAAAAAGACCACTTTCCTGTTGGTACATCATTTTCTGTTTCAAATACAATAATTCAATTAGATATTTAGGAATATTAACACAATCAACAGGATACGATTATATGACATGTTGAATCTAATTTACATATTCCCAGCCAAAAGAAGCAAAAAATCTTCTTAACATTGCTCACAAGCATAAATGATAGCATGCTTTACATACCATGATGCTCTCTGCATTATATTTTGTCATATAAAAGATAAAAGTCTATTCACCGCCAAAACCTATAAGCGGATCACTCAAATGCACTTACAATAACAACAGGTAACGTCAGAATCTCTCGATCTTTTAATAAAAGTGAAAAAAAAATTTGATAGTCAAAGAGTTAGAAAACATGGCTTTATAATCATTTTAAGGAAAAAAATTCTCATCACGACTTACGGCTGCTTCCTGTGCTATCCTTTTTGCAATGTCAGACGTCCTTTGGTATCTAATAATAGGTCTTCGTTTTAATGCCAAAAAAACAGCCCCAATACTGTCAACAGCCCGATCACAGAAGCGCTGCAATGCTGAAGGATCCACCATTGCTGGGAGCATATAAATGTAATTTGAAGGCATATTTAAGGTAAAATGGTAAGGATCAAGAGCAACAAAGTCTGCATAAAACTCCTGGATCACCAGGACAACAACTATATCAGCATGAGCCCTAGATCTAGAGATTGCACCACAAAATATAGAAGAGGGTCATAAAGGGCTTTAAGTTCAACAATATGTGAAGTCATTCATCAGATAAAAAGCTACAACAAAATCTTCATTACAATTATAGGCAGGAGAAAGAAGGGAAAAAAAAGGAAATTCTATTCATCAAGGACCTATTTCACAATAATTATGATATTATTCAGGAACAATAAACTGACAAGTAATCATCTTATCTGTTTTGGGGGGGGGGAATTCTTAGCAAAGTATCTATTACGACAAAATCCGTGTGGAAAGTGCTAAAAGCATCAAACTGAGACAAAAGAGCTCCTAAAAGTCCAAAAGGAAGAAAACACAGTGCACACATAAAGAATCACCTGAACTTGCTGGACAACTTCCTGTTCATCTGAATCAGCGAGTATGTGAATTTGAGTGTCCTTCAACATATTGGAGAAAACTGTAATTTCAGAACGGATTCACAAAGTGTCTTCAATCAATGGGAGAAAATTGCTCCTAAACAATGAATAATTGTAATTCATGCTCCAAAGGACATGTTGACAACAATTTTAAAAACCTACAAAGATGATATTCTCCAAATCTAGGATTGGCTATCTGGCGGCGCAAATGCTGGATGTTCTCCGAAGTTGGTCGAAGGAAGTAAACAGCCTTGAGATGTGACATAGATTCCTTTGACTTCGAAATGGAATCTACCAACTCCACCAAAAAGACCTCTTTCTGAAGAAGCTCTGACTGTGAATAAACGACACTGACAATACTTACCTGCACCAATTTGAGAAAGATATCCACTCAAACTCAACCACAGATTTCCACCTTTCAAAATTTCTTGAAATTTGAAATTGAATCCCTTCAGTAAATTGTTCTATGGTTTTAAAATAAATGAACAATATGATAGCAGGCAAAACAAACATAACAATAGTAACTGGAAGCTGAGTCAGAACAAATACGAAGAAGCAAAAGAATTATAAAACAGTCCATCATGATTGTAGGTGATGCGGAACGGGAGCAAAACTGAACGCAGATAGTAGCTGATCTAGCAGAAATATCACTCGCCCGAATGACTAGAAATCGCAAATGCGGAAACAGAATCCGAACCGACAAAAATCGTGATTCAGAGCAAAGGATTACAAGTGCCAAGTCCAACCATCGAACACCAATTACCAAAGTTGGTTAGTAAAGGGACGTACCGTCTGAGAATCTAAGATAAGAACCTTCATGCCAGAGATGTCTTGCAACATCCGGCTGATATAATCCCGTACCGCAGATATCAGCACCATTTTTCCGGGTTTAGGCCGGATGAACCCCTCAGTTCCTGGTTATTGATCTTTCCCTTGACGACGACGATGAAAGTTCCAATATGGCAGGTGCGAATCGGCAAGGCCCGAGCAACCCAGATCTGGGACGAGGGAACAAGAAAGCGTTCAAGTCTTAACGCACCGTTTTAGTTGCCCGTCGAGTTTATGCTTCGTTGGATTTGAGACTTCTCGTTAAGGCAGCGAGAGTTTTTTTTTTTTTTTTTTTTCACCCCCCTCCCTCTTTTTCCCCTCTCTTTGAGGGGAAGTGGGCACAACATTCGAACATTGAATATTATGTACGACTGTAGCTTATTGACCCGCAACATAACGACCGTGGCCGGCAACACGCGCCCTTTCGGCTTTCCTTTTTTATTTTTTTTTCCCGGTGAATGCACTTTTCTCATTGGGAGAATTGAAAAAAAAAACTGTGAAAATAAAAAAATTGTAAATAAGAACCCATTATAGTACTAATATTGATCTTGATAACAATTGATAAGCAAATAACAAAAATTTTGTGAATAAGTCTTTATATGTAATTTTTCAATTTTTGGAGTTTTTTTTCATGATTTTTTCTTTCCCATTTCCTGCTTGGAGTGGAATTCGCCCACTAGCAATGGATTCATCAGCAATATTATAATATGTGTATATTAAAATTTATAACAAATAAAAATAATGTAGGAACAAGCTGTATAATTTAATAACCATCCATATGTGTAAATCAAAGAGTATTGGTATTACAACGGTTATCTAGTTTTCCAATTTTCGTGCATTCATACCGGAGTTTTTTGGAGTTGAAGAGCTTTCGTTAGAATGGAATATTATTTCATTTTTGGATTAAAAAAATCAATCTAGCATATAAATTTTATAAGAAATAATAGCTCTTTTCACCAGCCATGAATAATTTTCATACAATACAAAAATCTAATTGATAAATTGAGATTAATCCCTGAATTCTTTTGTAGGCTATTACGGCCTTTTCATTTATTTATTTATTTAGACCAGATTTATTTGTTTATTTATGATTCAAAACTTAGAAGCTAGCAGGCAAAGATAGAGTACACGACATGCAGGTCAGCATTTGCCAAAAATAATTGAAATCAACAGCAGTGTTTATCGTGGAAGAAACGCGAGGTTTAGGGATGATCTCTGGGCCATCCAACTGGGGCATTGATTCACTGGCTTGAAATGAAAGCATGGTTAACTGTCACCTAGTCACTGAGCAGTGAATTCTTCTTTCTTTCCTTTATTTTTTTTCCCTGACTGAGTAGTGAATTTTAATAACTGTTTGGGAGGGCTTAAAAAATCTTCTATAAGCATGTTTTACTTAAGTAGAAACAAAACTCATCTCATATACTCACCTTATATTCCATAAATCACTATTAAAAAACAATTTATAAATTACTTATAAACTATTTCAAACGGATTGCTAATCTCCTTGTTGGAGTTAAGGCAAAGATATCCTTGTCAGTAAACCCTTGTGATAAAGTTCAGACCTACTACCATCTTACAGAAATAAAGGGCGAACTACTCCTTTATGTTTCAGCGTTACGGAATACGGGCCAATGGCCCAACCCCCCCCCCCCCTCCCTCTTCTTTTTTTTGGGACCGAAGTTGGCCTACCAGCTCAACCCAAATTTTTCACTCAAAAAAATCGGAACGCCGACGCAACCAATTTCTCCTGGATCAAAGGAGGAAAGGAAAACCGACCCTGTTGCATCCCGGAGAAAAACTGCACTCCCCCGGTACAAAGCTTCAAAACCAGAATTCAAGTGCACTTTGAAGTCGAATGGATATGATGAAAACCTTGAACTTGAGGGTCTCCCCAATATCATTCTCACCTGCAATCGCCGCAAGTAATTTCTACCTGCCCCTTGCCTACCCCAGAAATTTTTCTTTCCGATTCTATGCCAGCTCATTCCATCAAATTTCAAGAAAGTCCCAAATTCTCCGTGCCAAGAAAAGAAAACCGGAGTCGGAGCCAGTTCTCGAATCCACACTTGTCGAAGAAATATCAATGAACGATGAAGAGGACGTCCTTGATGATTTCGAATACGGTAGCGCTACCATTTGCACTGAACCTCTTCTTTGTCTCTGACTAAAAATTGTTCTGAGATGAACTTGAAGTTCATAGTTTTTTTTTTTTTAATTGCGCAAGTATTACTCCCAAACATGCAAATCGAGCTTTACGCTATGTTTGGTACGGGGTTTTCGGAGGAGAGGGGAGGGAAGTTGCTCCCCTTCCCTTGTTTGGCTGGTATAATTTTTTAGAAGGGGAGGGGAGCTCCTTCCCTCTCCTCGTTTGGTTAAGATGTTTTTTAAAAAGGGGAGGGGTTTTTCTCCCCTCCCCTTCCCTTCTAGCCTCCCCTCCAAAAGTGGGGTTTTTTGGAGGGGAGACGAGAGATGATATTTTAATTCCTTATATGCCCTTTTGATTTGTTAGCTTCTAATCAGTCATAAATATTTCTACATAAGAGAGTTCTTTTGAGCATTTAATAAGAGGTTATTAAGATAATTATCTCCAAAATTAGTAAGCATTTGTAAACTTTTTTTCTCTTCTTCTAATTCTAAGAGGCCATTGTTATTTTCTTTCACCTTCAAGGTCTTTTCTCTGATTGAAATCTATCACTTGTGAGTTTTTGTCTTGATATTCTATAAGTGTGTAACTGTATCTTATAAATCAAAATTAGTGAATTGTATTATATATATAGTTATATCTTAACAAAATAAAAAGTGAGAAAATTTATTTAAATTTTATGAGGCTAAAATAGTCAATTTTTTATTAGAACAAAATAAGGTATTATTAAAATTGCTCCCTCCCCTCCCCTCCAATCAATCCAAACAAGAGATCATTAAAATCCCTTCCCTCCCTTCCCCCTCTCCTCCCTCCCCTTTGTAGCTACCCTCCCCTTTCCTCCCCTCCCCTTCCCTTGATTAAAATTCCTCCCCTCCCCTTCCCTCTATCGAGCCAAACATAGCGTTAGTGACCATTCGCGGAAGTAAGGACGAGTTTATACCGAAATTTCCAGTGAATTCATTTTTGCTTCAAACCCCATAATTCTGACGGAAGTTATTGATCTCATGGTGGAATTAGGGGATGACGATGGCAGCTACTACGACGAAGAGGAGTATGAAGATGACGAAGCTGAACTCTTTGTAATTTTCTTTCTTGTCTTGATGTGTTGCTATAAAATTTCGATTTTGTTTATACACATATCAATTTGCGCATTTGGTTTTCAAGGTAGGTGATGGGGGCGGAGGCGGTGGGATTTCCCTGGCTGGAACGTGGTGGGATAAAAAAGCACTGGCGATAGCTGAAGAGGTTACCAGGTCTTTCGATGGGGAACTGCAGATATATGCTTTTAAGACACTGGTCAATTCCACCATTCGAGTGCGCATCGAGAGACTTTCCAACAAGTAAGCATTAGATGCTATTTCTTAGTGTATTTTCTGGGAAAAATAAAAGCAAAGACGTGGAACTTGAAGCTTATACTCTGATTAGGTATAACGTATTTTATTAGGATTTTTGTTGGATATGCTGCCAAGCAAGGATGCGTCCATGACTGTATGGCAATGTCTTCTAACTCGTGGAATATATCGTAATTCAGATATGATAAAAAAGATGACCAGAAAGTAATTTCTGTGTCTGCCTCATTTTGTCTTTTGCCAAGTGCTAATATCTGCTCATATTTTCATTTCTTTTTAGCCCAAGTTGTTGAGGTTACTGTAACATAGTAATAGTCAATGGGCACTTGATGTTAGCTTTCACTTTCATATATCGGTAGGTCTGGCTCGCCTAGCATGGAAGACATTGAAGCTTTTTCTACAGCCTATAGAGCAAAGTTAGATGAGGCCGAGCTTGCCAAATTTGTGCCTGAAGATATAAGTTTGGAGGTACCATTTCAAGTATTTCATTAAAATGTTGTGTAACTTTGGCTTGTGAGAAAAAACCCATGGGACTGGCATGATGAACAGCACTTGAAGGTGCAAATAGTTGAATTTATGAGCAAATGATTAATGAACCATGTGGTCTCCTTATAGGAGCAAAGGTTCTGTTTTTCTATCGCCTGTGTTTTTGAAGGCCAGAGCTCACAAATTGAAATTTAGATTTTCAATGCTTCCTTTTGACGAAGAATCAAACTTATAACTTCCTTCAGGTGTCTTCTCCTGGTGTTGAAAGGACAGTCCGGATTCCTAATGATCTGGATCGATTCAAGGAACGGCCTATGTATGTGAAGTACATGAGCAGTGAGGATTTAGAAGGTTCCACTGCAGAAAGTGAGGGGGTGTTCCGCTTGATAGCTTTTGACCTGGAAACAAGATGTTGCACTTGGGGTTTGGCAGACGTGAGAGTAAATAGAGAGAAAGCAGGGAAAGGAAGACCACTGAACAAAAAGCAGAGAGAATGGCGTTTAAGCACTCCCTTTGATTCTTTACGTTTAGTTAGGTTGTATTCTGAAATGTAACTTGGTTGGATCTTTGGCAAGAGGTCATATTTTGGTACCCCACGCCTGCCCGCGTCTTTTTGCGGGCTTGGCGTGTTTAGAGAGCTTCATATTCATGCATGTACAGAGCGAAGAGTAGTAGTAAATTTGTGTCAAATTAATTAATAAATTTAACTAATTTTCTCAATTTTGTAAATTAATTATTTAATTACTATATTAAGAACAGAAATAATAGTATTAGAAATTGAAGTACTCAACCTTTTAGACGTTTGGATTACATTGTGTTTTTATATAGAATGATTTGATGTGAAGAATTAATTTCCATCGTCACATAAAACTTTACTATATGAAAGTAACTTTGTATTACTGTATAAAAAGTTGACAACTAATCATCATGTGTATAACTCAATTATCCTATTAGAATTACATTGTCGCATAAATCCAGGGAGAACATGATCATGAGATATGAGTCTGTACAGCTACATCATATTTTGGAGTCCTCTTATTAATACGTGGGAAAATATTTTTTTTATTTTTCACTAAAAAATAAATTAGATAACATTTATTATAATTTTGTTATTATTTAATAGTGATAGTTATTATCTATTTATTTTTAAATATTAAACGTGACGTTAGAAAAAATAGCAAAAATGGTATTTCATTTTCAGATTTGCTATTTTATTATATT